AGTGCTGACCAACCACCTGCAGCTGCCACGGGCAGCGCTGGTTGCGGCCAGTGGGGATCGCAGACCACCCGCAGATGCCACCGGTGTCGACAGCGGGGTGGCGAGTGGCAACCACCCACAGGTGCTGCACCACCACGCTTAGGGGGTGCACGTGCACCTACATGCACCCCCTATGCATCCCCCCTGACATGCAGGTTCATGTGGACGTGCCCACTGAAATCAATAGATATATGTGGATTTAAACAAGCTGATGATCTGATGTATACAAGAGCTAGATTTTTATTATATGTAGACTCTAGGGTTAAATATAGACAGTCAAAAAGCCTGAGGCTGAATCAATTAAATCTTTGTAGGTTAGTCTAAGCCACGTAGATTGAACTGATAATCAAGTGAACAGACATTCACTTTGATTCTGGAAATTCAGCCAGAAGGCAAGGGGTACTAGAACATGCCTCCATGCTTGGCTGGAGCACACAGCTTGGGCCAAGACTAGCCCACCCACTCTGTGAGGGGCTGGGTTTGTAGGGAAGGTGCAAAACATCCTGGGATGTTGTGGGGACTGAGTTAACTTGAACCTGGCGGGGATTTGGGACAGAAGTTCAATAAACCAATTTAACCTAAATCAGTTAAGCTTGATACTACATCCATACAGGTTTAACTTAAACTGGTTTTGGCCATTATGAACGCAGTTTATGTGCACTGAGCTTCTGTTGTGTTACAGATTTGAACCAGTTTCAGATCACTTATATCTGTTTGTGTGTAATGTCTGTCCCTAGCCTAGTTGACAAGGACTTTCTGCTAATAAGTAAGTTCAATCTCAAAGAAAGCAAACATAGCCTTGCACTGAGGCATTGTGAAGTGTAGAGTGCTAGCACTAATTTACTCTGTTGTAACATACTGTAGGAGACAGCTCCTTACAAGTATAGTCACGCTTATCAAAAACTCAGCTGATAATTTGGAGCTACTGTTATAGGTACAGCATGATCCACATATGCACAAAATTCCCAATATTTTTCACAATTTCATCTTCGAGAAAAATATCCCATTCCATCCAGAAGTCTATTAGAAGGCATATGGATAAAAACGACTAAGCTAGTAGGATATTTTGGTGGAACGCAGGTACAACAGAGAAAAAAAATGTTATTTTGTTTATTTTGACAAACAAGGAGACATTATTTTTTGTACTTATACATAAGGTTTATATGTACATACCTTAGCCATGAGTGTTGTTCCAAAGCCACCTTGGTAGTTATTAGCAGAAGGTACTCCTTCCATTACTCCTGGAACAGGATTGTAAGTGTCACTTGACCAGCAACGACCTGAGCTCATATTTAGGATTTTGGCCAGCAGTTTTGGGTCAAGCCCTAACCTGTCAAAGGTCAAGGAAGAGAAGTGTTAATGTCAAAATGCACAAGATATGGGTGACTTGTTTTATATGTTAGGACCACACCATCATTTCTCTCCCTTTATTATAAGTCATGAAAAATGATAGAGTATTGATATTGGGGGTTGGGATGACCTACCTTAAATTAAAGAGCATCTATCTACCATTTAAGCAATAAGCTTTCAGCTCATGCTTTCTGCACTAGGCAAAGACCCTTCCACCTAGCAATTCTGAAAATGAAGGCAAAATAAAAGATCCTCTGAGAATACCACTTCTCTTGTACATCAATTGCTAAAAGGACAGATGGTATTGGCACAACTGATCTTCATATGCCTTTCCTCAAAATGCTATTCTTTAAGAATTTACCAACGACATCAAAACAAGGTTTTAGTAGATAAATAGTCATTACATTACAGAAGTATTTATGCTACTGAATGGATGGGTATGTATGTATATGAAACCAATATAAAGCAAGCAACAAATGATACTGAAAAACATAAATGCTATTAAAAATGTAAATGCTATGTTGTTCACATCTGCATCTTCTTTTAAATCTTCATTATACATTCTTGCTTATGAAGCAAGTCTGTATGGAACTGTGACATATGCTCTCTATCTATTCACAGACATGCATTATAGTTCTGGGTCAACTGCTGATAAGGTTACTGATCCTGATAAAACAAAGCTTGTCCAAGCAGAAACATCATTTGTTCTATCACTGAGCTGATGGCACAAGCTAGTGTTCAATGTGGACTTTAAAGAAATGCACTCATGACATTACTTTAAATACAGTAAGTTTTTAATCCTGTTACAATTTTATGTTTTTATTAAAATTGAGTTGCAAATATAGTTTTATGTGAACTGCATTTATATCAGTGATGGGTGCCAATAGTTTTGAGAGATTTTACGTCTTTTCCATTTTTTCCCCTTTTTGGAGAATGAAAAGAGAAGAGACAATTCTCTCTTAATACTAATGCAAACAGAGCATTTTTTTAGAAAAGATTTCACAACTTACTGTAGTCACATACTTCCTGCTGGAGGGGGAGGGGGGAGGAGGGAGATAAGCTAAATGCAAAACAAGTTTCATATCATAATTCCAAGTCAGTTTCAGCTTCACAGCAAGAGAAACTTCCTTCTCTTCGTACTAGTTCTTATCTTTTCTGTGACAATAACCGATAACCAAGGCTTATGAAATAATGCTAGGAATTTCTGGTTGCAGATGAAATATTTAAATATGATATTAAAGCTCATTATAAATGGAATACTGGCTACTTTAATAAGCAATATTTATTTCATCAGTAATTCTTTGTATGTAAAACAGCACTTAATATGGTGGATCCTAAAGTCCAGATACTGCTCTCTTGGCTATCTGGCTGGAAATATTTATTTTCTATTTTTCCCAATAAAAAACTCTTTTTCTAAGATGCCTTTTAGAATTACCACTGTCAGTTCTATATTTATGGCCTAATGCAAACATTTCAGTGAAGTCAACAAAAAGCCTCCTGCCGACTTAGAATCTAGGCTGTATTGCCCTACCCAATCTTTTCCTTTCCCTTCTTTATGATTTTGATTCTTTCAATTATTTTAAGGTTGTTGGGGTTTTTTTTTTGTTTTTTGTTTTTAAAAGAAGAGGGCTCCCTGGCACCACTTCATTTTAATCTTCTGCTATAGGGCATCCAAGGCCTTAAAAGAAGTACTTTGTGAATAGAATTACTGTGACTGCTTCACTAAAACAGTCTGTACATTGGAGTACCAACTAAAAACAACGTTTGGAACATGTTACTCCTGATCTTTCACACACAGGTATTGCACTCTCATCCAAACAGAGCACTTAAGTGCATGTGGGGGTGGGTGTATACATGTGCGCACACTACACAGGATAATGCTTTCAGCAGTAAAGCACCTCCTCATATCACAACTGGTAGCACCCAGTAAATCCTAACTATAGCTTTTAGTGGAGTTTATGCTGTACAACTAGGGGCTGGCAAAAGGGAGAGCAGAGTATTACAAAATACATAGAATCCTAGCCCTGAAAATGAATATTGTCCCAAAAGCATTCCAAATCAGTTCTGTGAACAAAAATCAGTTTGAAAATAGATGTACTGTATATACTTAATATATTTTCAGCATTAAGTATAAAAAGGAAAATGTAAAAATAAATTTTGCTCAGCATGGGAGAAAAAAGGCCGTGTCAGTTTAAATCTCTGCTTTTCGAACTTCAATGCTCTTACCCACCATTCTCGTCAGGAGACCTGAGCTACTTTTTTTCTCTTTCAGCAAGTGTATCATTAAAAAGAGCAAGTTAGAAGTGTTTTGCATTTCATCTTTCTGAGAATTCATCTACTGGTGCATATATAACTGACAGTTAAAATTAGACATGTATTAAAATCAGTTACTGAAGAAGTCCTCTGTCTTCCACTGTGCCCAAAGCTTGTAATGGGCTGAAACCAGCTAGAATATACAGTAATTGTCATTCAGCGAGAGTCTATCCTAGAAAGTCATGCTTCAGTGGAGAAGACTGAGTTTCCATTTGAAATCAACAAATTAATCCAAGACAGGTATCTGAAAGGGCAAGTTTAATAGGAAGCAGCTACTGCGCTCTCAACCATGATAAAATGTTATTGCTGTTTCCCTGTAAATTGGCTGGGAACATATGATATTTTCTGCATAAGAGCTCCATTGCTGTTCAAGGGATATACTGCTCAAGCTATCAAAATGATGACAGTCTGTCAGTCCCCATAATAACTTGCCACTGGATGTGGTAAGAGTATGGGTACGCGTGTGTGCATTTACAATTGCCAAAATGTTCTTCCGTATAAACAGAGAAAGAAACCAGTCTCTTAACATTATTTATAACATAACAGAAAAACAATATCTGTGTCAAATTAATGCTTCTTCAACAAAAATCCTAAAAACCTGCAATAGATAAAAAGATCTGGATAAAATAAGAACAAATCAAAACCACTGTTCAAAACTACAACCCATTCTTTTAAGGTTCAAAATAATTATTTACTTTAATATTTTCACAAACTTCTCCCCAGTTTCAGTCAAGAGCAGAAAGAAAAAAAAAAAGTGACATTCCATGAGAAAGGTAATTCATATGCTACTGCCTAAATAAGGCCAAGGAATGAACTTGAGAGATTTTCAGGCTGAAATGCCCTGGATGAGGCATATGGAAACTTTCAAATCATTATTCAGACAGAACCTTTTGAGACTTGCTCATCACCAATAGAAATGCATTTTTCATTGCGGATTTCATCATCCGAGTGCCTGGAGAGGACTATTAAGAATCTCACAGAGCTTGATCGTGCATTTAGATATAGCCCCCATGTTGAGGGTAGCAGAGTCACACAACTGCAGAAGACACTCTACAAGGAATTCTGTCATGACACCCCTTCCAAAACTTCCCAGGATACGGTGTACGCCCACTGCTGCAGCCTTCTTGGCAGAAATATAAAGAAGCTAAACATACAAACTGTATTATGATACTGTACTATTTTTATGGAAGTTAGTTACTACTGAGGAATTGTGAGTGCTACTTGTATTGTATTATGAATATTTCTACCATTTTTTTTCAAATTGAGTACATAGCCCAAAATGAAAACAGTAGCAGACAGTTATTTTAGTGATTAGAGAGACAACTACAAAAAATATCTGTATAGGAAAATGAAAGAGCTGCTGCACTGCTTGAAAATGCTGCAATGGTGCTATAGCTCATTAACATAACCAAAAAGAAGGTGTTTACAGATTCTATTAAGCTTAAGTAAACTGCCTGTTTGTTTTTGCAATACACTATGTTGCATGCAGACAGCTTGTCTATTTATGTAGTATGCATGAGCACATACCAGCAACAGTTTCATAAAATTAAAGAGGAGTCTACATTCATGTGGGAAGGATGTTTAAATAGCTGGACAATCTAAGGTTGCTAGATCTCCATTTACACAAGTTTATGATAATGATCTGGCTTATTTCTCAACTGAATATTTTGAATGGAAAACTACAGATCTGATGTTGCAAAGTGCCGAGTACCTTTTCATGGCAGTCTACGTTTCATGGAATCAGGTTCCAAACTTTTCCCTTTATTATATACAGTCCTTAGTTTTGACATTTTTTTTTAAATTTAAAAATGTCCTTATTTATAAGTAATGAACATTCCAGCTATCTAGACATAAAGATAGAAATAAAAAAAAATAGAAGGCCACTTCCATCTCCCTCTTTCTCTTTTAAGTTTAAAAATAATCTTGATTAGGTTTTAGGATGTTTTTGCTAGTGGCCAATTTCTCTTTTATTACTGGAATTGTATCCATGTCTATCAAAAATATAGATGCAACAATCATTTTTTTGTTCAAAGAAACATATAAATTCTTAGCAGCTATAAATTATTAAAACTTCCAGCAAACTTTCAGGCCATTAACAAACTTATATCACCTTGATAAATCAGGTTACATTTTTTAATTGGTCTATCCTAGCCCTTACAATAACTGGTTGGGTTTATCTACTAAAACTTGCAAGTTTTATTGTGTTTGAGCATTTCTGTGAGCAACTGAGTTAGAATACATGATAATGACTACAATTTAATGGCCAGATTAAAGTTGGACAAATTATATTTGATATCATGTCAATTAAATGCACTTAAGCCTAGAGACAAGTAGTTAGTCATGTTAGTCTGAAGTCAGGGCACAGTGGCAATTTAAAGACCAACTCATTCAGAAAGGCATACACTCTGCTAGGCAATAGCCTACTTAGTCAGATGCTATAAAACTTGGCTGTAAAAGTAGGCAAATTATTTTGGATGACAATAGCATCATATTTAGTACCATCATATTTGAACTAGATGTCACACTGGGTTAATGCATGCAAAACTTTCACCTGTGGAATTATAAGTAGATAGGTACTCTCTTACGAGCTTGACCCAAAGCCCATTAAAATACAGTGGAAAGAGTCCCATTTACTTCAAAGGGTTTTGGATTAGGATCTATATAACAAAGCCCAATATGGTTTAGTATGAGGTGCAGTTTCTCCTAAAAGAATACTCAGAATAGGAATAATCAGAGGCTGCCAATCAGGAATGAGCTGCATGACCAGTGCTGTGGGGCAAGAAATCTGGCACTCAAATGCTATGAAAACATCAAGTTTTATATAATCCAAACACAACCAAAATGCTCCAAAGAACAAAAATAAGATGGAATTTGAAAATCCAGACACAAGCTACAGTGGTTACAGACACCAATTAGTTTTGCCTGGGATTTTGGTGCCAGGCATTTAAAAAAAAAAATCACCCCTAGAAATATGGAGAAAAGTATAATGAGAAATCAGTTGCACATGACTTCATTAAGTGAACGCTGACTAAAAACTGACTATGATACAAGCTTTACACCATAGTGAATTACAATAGTTGCATACAACCGTACTGCTTTTATAATAGCTTGATGCAGATACGCTTCACTATCTTACAGACGCTCAATTTTAAAATGTAAATAGTACAGGATATTGATAAACCAATTAGCACTGATGCAAAGCAAATTCCTCTTTTATCTCAATTACAACATGACAACTTAATAGGTCAAGATAGTCTAACATCTGAGACAAGGGCAATTCAATAAAACAACCGCATCTTGATATGGTAATTAAGAGGAAATGTGAATCCATTACCCTGCCTTGTGAGTGTGCACATGCATGTGTATACTTGCTTCTCAATTTAAATAATCTAATGCCCTGTTACAGTTTTTAAATTTTTTGTCAACCTCAGAGTAGCACATTCTTTGAAGTGACACATTGACAACATCTGCAGTTTTTGATGCAAAGTCATAAGAGTGTGTCTATAGAGATAAATAAAAACTATGTATTTATAAATTTATCTCAGAAGCAAGGACTTCATCATAGATAAATCTGCAAACTGTATTATGCAAGCTTGAGAAAGAAAAGTATTGCTAAATTTAATTAAAAGTTGGCTTACATGCAAGTGAATATGAAATAAAATTTAGGAAGTGTTAAATACACACACACAACCCAAATCGCTTAAAAATGGAAGGAAAATTGCTGCTTAAGTAAACTGTTTCAATGTTACTGTTTACAACTTAGATACATCATCTATTGTAGACAGATCAGTCCTCTTACAACAGGAAACTGTTTAAGCAAAGTAATAGAATCTACATTGGATTTTTCACAAGGAAATATTGTGGTGAGCATGACAAACTACAGCAGTTAAGTTTGACAGGAGGGTAAATTGTCTTTTTATGACTGCATCCTAATTTCTATTGAGATACTGTATACACAAATGCTAGCAGTTTCTTTTTAGAATTTGTTTTGAACAATATTTAACATAGGCAAATAAAGCCAAATGGAGCTATGTGGAAACATAACATTGAGAGAGACTCTATATTAGCTTTTGCTTCAAGTAAAACTACTTCCATGTTATCTCAGTACATCTACATATAGTGAGCATATCGTGTATTGCATCGTAATAGAGGAAACTGACGTATAAAATACAGTACAAGTTTAGAGGGAAAATATAATATTTTATAGCCACTGCAAAGAACATTCCTGTTCTCATGAGTCCTACTTTTGGTTAAATAAACGAGCCCTGTTACATTCTAATAACAGAACACTTCTAAATTTTTTTTCTGCCAGAATCTCATCTATGCCATCTGATCGTTATTCTCTCACTATAGAAAAGTCCACCAGCACAGAACATAGACACTGCTATTATAAAAAACCAAAAAAACCAAACAAAATCTAACAAACCTGATTCCAAGATTCATAGCTTCAGCAGTTCCAATCATACTGATAGCTAAGAGCATGTTGTTGCAGATCTTGGCTGCCTGAAAATAAATTAAATAACCAGTGAGCTCAATTTTCATGTAGGTATCTTGTAGGAATTTTCTTCACCCAGCTCCAGTAGAGTTGTGACTGAAGATATTCAGACAGCCTCTCCCTAAAGGTAACACCAGAAGAGTACTCTAGCATTAAGGCAATGGAGGCTGAGCTATGGCTTCTTCACCCACTGGGAAACTTTTTTTTTTTTTGTTGGCCCAGTAACTCAATTTGTAATACTTCAAATGTAGTGGTTACTTTCAGACGACACCATAAATCTGCTACTATGATACAAATTAAAAGAAAGTTAAAAAAAAGTGTTGGCCGAAATTCTTAACAAGCCAAACTGATAAAATAGTTTACTTGCTTTAGTTTAGATGTGTAATTTAATGTATTTTATTCTGGTAAAAGAATCAGCAAACAAACAAAAAGATTCAGAAATGATAATGGCTTTAACTGTGGATTCTGGAACCAAATAACTTATTGTGAGGTATATTACTGGGAATAGGATTAGAATGGAAAAACAAAATAAGGAAAAGGCCAGACTGACTGCATAACAAATACTTTGCAAGCATTACCTGTCCAGTTCCAACCTCTCCACAATATACCACATTGGAACCCATGCATGTCAGCAACTCTTTGGCAGCATCAAACTCTTGTTCCACTCCACCAACCATGAAAGTAAGGTTTCCAGCTCGAGCGGCTCCAACTCCTAAATCAAGACAACATAAGATGCAGCACTTTTAAGGAAAAGAACTTATTTATGTAGGCCCTGATCAGGCACTGCCTGCACATACTTACTGTCTGTTGCATGCGTGAACAGATCAAATTCATTTAATGGAGAAAGAAGGTTGAATAAAGTTATTATTCAACCTTATATTGAATAAGAACATAAGAGTGCTTATATCTTTACAGGATCAAGAATTTAAATTCCTGAATGTCTATTGATGAAACATATGCAAACCCAACTCTAAATTCATCTAAAAGGATTGGGGAGCTTTATTTTTTAAACACTTAAATGCTGAGAAAGAAAATAAGGTCATAAATAATATTATGTGACATTCAGAATTTGAATTTTGCATCATTTTTATTTGATTAAAATAATGACCATTTGATGGAATGTTGCATACCTCCAAATACCTCTATGGAAAGCATCTAAAGAAATGGCTATTTTAGCATTTAAAAACCATATCAGTATCTTACTGCTATGAAGTTTTTGTTACTCAAAAATGAAACTGCTTTTTATAAGAACTATTAGTACCTTAAGCACACCTTCTAAAATGGTTTGTTTTCAACCATGCTTAAATCCAAACACAGAGAAGCCAAAATAAAAGCTTGCTCTCCAGTTCATCAGCAGAGCTTCACTTCATTACAAATGTCGCATGCTGCTAATCTCAAAAACAGAAGTTCCTTTTCCCCTCTATTTGGGGAAATTGAGGCCAATATTTCTATACATAATTTACAACAAAAAGAGAACCTCAAAACTTTTTAACAGACTGAGAAAAAAATTCTTAACATCCCTAACATTTACAGTTTCCTTTCTGTAAATATGTCCTATTTTTAATACCCAGGGACAGCATTATAGATCTAGAACCACTAAATGGAAAAAATAATCAAGATTTATCCTATGATACTTAGCATCAAGATTAAATGCTCTGTTCTAGAAAAGAATTCTAATGGCACTTTGAATTACATCCTTAGTCACCACCTCCACCTTCCCACCAACTTATTTTAATGGATGAAACTGCTAGGTGAATTTGGCCCAACGATACCACTTGGAAAATGAGATTAATACCTTATCTTTCCTACTTATTTAGTAATACATCTACAAAGCTAGGCACCATAAATTTCTGTGTTATGCATCAAACCTTGGCCTATTAGGACAGTCAGCTGCAAGTAATGGCCTACTTTTGAATTTAATGTATTCAACCAGTTCCAATGCTTTTCCAAAAAGGCCAGATGAGACTATTCATTTTTCTTCCACACTGCAAATTACTTTGTTCTGCAGTAACAACAACTCTCTCCCTCAGTTAAGGTTGGTACTATGATTAACCAATTAGCTAGGATGATAGCTATTATCAAATGATTATACTGAAGTGGTACCCTGAGATCTAAGTGGGATCAGGCTTCATTGTGCTAGATGTTGTACAATCACATGCAACAATGCAGTTCAAATATTAAACAAATGAGCATAACCTTTGGAGAAAAACCCCAAAACCTGACAAAGCAATCAATTAAGTTAATTTATTAAAATTATACTCCATTTAAATTGGAAGCTCTGTTTACATTTTCCCCACTAAATGAAAATTTCATAAAAAGTAATCAAACTACTATCAACACAGTAGTTTGGATCATCCAACCATATGTCCAAATCACTGTAGTAACATAAAGGTGTTCATGGTCTAATAGCAGTATATTAACTGAACAAAAACAACCATAATAATAATTCAAACAAATTAAATAAATGACCTTCCCCCTGCAAGTGCTGAGGATGCCCAGACAAGGAAGCTGGTATCTTTACACAATATAGTGGTCAGGGTTCAGCATCACAGGTTGGACTACCTTTGTTATGTGGAGCCCACCTCTGCAGAAACTACCAACATCAGCACCAGAGAATTTGGAGTAGAGGCTGCCAGATTTTTATTTAAAAATAAAACATTGCAAAATTTTTCAAGGCATGCACTCCACATTCCTCCACTGCAAAGAATTTTCCAACAGAGGTGAGAGGTAAGGGACACAATACAGGCTGTCCAAGTGCAGTGCTAGAGTCACTCCTCAGCCTTGGAAGAAGGATTCCTCTCTGATTTCTTTCTCCAGGTAACTTCTTATGCCCAACCCTGAAACCTAGGATAGGCACAGAAACTTAGATTTGGACCCCAAACAAACCAGACCATTGTCAGCTCTTCGACCACTGATTTTTCATGCTCAATGACTGCACAGATCACTACATTAATAAAAATGCAGTATTTTTAATTCCGTTCCCCCAATGTTTTTATTCAAACCACATAACAGCCTTTACCACTAATCCTGTGATCTGACCTGCAGCAAATTAAGTAGACAATTTAAGTCAAAGCTTACAAACAAAATCCAGTACTATCCATCATAGGTCAATAGCCTTGTATCTAGATTACAGACTGCTAAATAGCTTCAGAGACTCATTTATTAGAGCAAAATTAATGCTGACAATAGTTTTCAGCTGGTTAATCTTTTGACAGCTGTACTCTCTCACTTGTTCAAACACTTACATTTCAAGTAAAAAAAAATAAATTAGTTAAGCAAAAAGAAAAGAAAAGAGCAATTTGTTGTGCAATGTAGAAGTCTTCGAAACATTTCTACTTTAAAACAACCCCCCCCCCACTAAAAGCTAAAAAAACCCCATTTCCATCATGGTGGGTTTTTCCATCAAAATTTCCTACCAATTCTCAGCTGGTGGAAACAAAGAGTAAGCCAACATACATCTAGTGCTGACAATTAAAAAAAGAAAAGTGAGGAAATGCAGCCAATCTAACCTTGAAAAAAAATTTCAGCTGCAAACAGAAGATAGAAGGTTGCATCCAGCAAGTAGGACCACTCATTTTACTTCAATATTTTGGAATACAGTAGATCACCACCACTATAGCCCAAGATGGAGCTGTCAAAAGCTCACACTACATGAGTAAAGGAAAAAGGAGGAGGAACAATGGCATGAGTCACCATTATATTTTCTGTCTACTGAGGTGCATCTTATGCTTGTTAAAGTATTATTTATGTATCCCTATTAGAGAGAAAATTTCAGGTGCATCTTCAGGATTATTCTGCTCCTGCAGAGACCTGCAAACTTCTTCTCTTCTATTTATAAAATTACGGGAGTGGCCTCTGAGACAGTATTTGTTATTAGCACAGGTTCGTGCTTGTGTCCCCTGTAGGAAGAAAAGATTTAAGTTGCAGTCCCACAACAGTTTTGTCTAGCATGGTGCCTTATGACCCTGTGAACCCTTAATGAAGTCTTGCTAGCAGACTGCAAAATACAAATCAGTGGCCACCAAGCTAGTACAGCATCCCACCCTGTTTGTATATTACTGTACGGCCGTAGGACAATTTGTGTGACCAGACCCTGGAATAGACTCCCAGCAGGCGTGGTGCAGGCACAAAAGGAGACTGGACACATGCCTTGCTGGGGTTATTTGACCCCAGCAGTCTTTCCTACCCAGAGCAGAGGGGCTAGACCCGATGATCACATGAGGTCCTTTCCAGCTCCAAACTTCTGTGAATCTGTGACTGGAAGAGTGGGAACAGAGCTAGAGCAATGAAAATACCATATTTACTTGAGCAGAAGACAAGGTTTCTTTCCCCAATCACCACTGGGGAAAAAAATCTCGTTTTACATTCACATACAAAAGAAACCCCATTAAATACAGTCTATCATTAAACTACTGCCAAAAGCAGCATGCGCTCAGTAATGGAAGGCAACCAGGAAGTTGACTAAATGAAGCCAATGCTGAGCATGACTATAAAACGCATGGCCCATATTGGACAAATACAGGCCTCCAGGCCTGGGGCTTGTACATAGGATGTCTGCCTGGTTTTGGAAAGTATCTGAATCCCCAGACTGATAGGTCTGAGAAGGAGAATACTTGCCTGGTAGTAGAGCCACAAAGACTTATACAATTGTACTCTGCTTAGTCAAATTTTGGAACTTTACTGTTGGGCTATGCCTAATTGAATTTGGAACTGATTTGTCCTTGAAAACCAGATTAAAATAATATTATATAATTATACAATATAAAATCTTGTGTGTAATATATAGATATAGGATATAATATATAATCGATAGATAGATAGATAGATCCTACCACAAGGCTAGTTTAGGGAAGCCATCTGAAGAAGAAGTGGTAGTGCCCATTGTGCACAGTCCCCCTCAGCACTGACTTTTCAAAGTCATGTTGAGCCACTAAATTGAATATAATTCAGCTTTCTCTTCACTCCCACAGCTGAGCTGCACCTTTCTTTCTCATTTCCAATGACTCCTGTTTCTTTATCAGCCTTAAATGTCTGGCAGACATCAGATGGAGCCCCTAGCAGTTCACCCAGAATCGCTGTTGTCCCCTCAGACTGTCACCTATGATTGATGTAGCCCTGCCCTCCTTGAGGTGGAGCCAGACCAGTTTGCCTTGCGCCTCATCTGCATATATGTGGGGGCTAATTAGCATATGGATCCTTTGTTGGGAAGGGAGGGCGATCTGGAGTACACAAGTACTGAGCACTGCTGAACTGCAGGGTCACCATTGCTTGAAACACTGTTGACTCAGTGGGGGCTCAGAGCAATGATAACTCAAGAGTAGAACCTCCCAACTTCATGGCAGCTCCTTAAGTCTTGCTGGTTCCCCCGTACACCCTCCCTTGCTGATTGGTAGAGGGACCTGGTCATGAACGCCACGTGCCCCTGGCGGCTGGGGGGGCACAGTGAGCTTTGGCAGGCAGCGGCAGGGCAGTCGGCAACATGAGCATGGCGGTGACAAGTGTGGAGCTGCTGCAGGCAGCTACAGTGCTGATGGCAGTGGGGGGGTGGTGGTGAGTGCCAACCAGTGGTCGATCACTACCCGCAGATGCTGCCAGCAGTGGCCAGTGGCAATTGCAGACGCCGCCAGCAGTGTCAGCAGCGGGGGGGCGGGGACAGTGAGCACCGACTTCCTGCAGTGACCGACACTGCTGGCGGCACCTTTTTGTAAGGGT